AGGGAAAGAACTCCTTCCGTGCCGTTGGGTGATCTCTCTCGCGCTTTCCCTCGCCCTCTCCCTCCACGTTCTCCTCCCTCGTGAACATCGTTTCGATTGTTTCTTTAGTGAGATCTATGTGCTGCTATGCTTTATGGTTTGTTTTATGGCTCGATCCGTGACGAATGTTGCCTCACATCTTAGACACGATTGACAAGTCTGACCATTGGCCCGACAGAAAAAAATTTCAATCAATATGTAGAAGCATGGATTCAAACACCCTAATTTTAGAGGAGAAGAAGTGTGCATCTACCAACCAACTTCAAAACTTCCCTTATATATATAATATAATATAATAAAAAAATTTCATATTTTTGAACGACAAAACTAGCCTCACTCAAAAATTGGGGGCAAATGATACACCATAACTAAAATTTAATCACTCAACATGGATCTCGAGGCATGACACAGATCTCAAGATAATATTTTGAGCAAGGAATGTTGAAAATTTAATTAAAAATCATTTGGAACACCGATATAAAAAAACTATAGTCAAACTGATCGACTCAACGAAACGACAGAGACACTAAAATTGGTCCAATCCGAGTCAAATTAAGTCCATATCAAGTCATTAAGCTATTTTTGAAAACTTCAAGTGCTTAATTGGAAAGTCAAATGGATTCCAAATCTGAATAACTTATATTGAATTGAGTGTCTCGATAAGAAAAATTCAACAAGCCCAAGATCACTCAATCTAAACATTATTGAGACATTCAAATTTCCACCAAACATCGTCCGACCGAGGGAATCTCTCTGAGCCGTCCGATGGAGTGATTTAGAATTTTTTCTTTTTTACAGGAAGGCCTCTCCAAATTGAGCCCTACCGCTTTCATGAAAAGAAGACCTAGACTTTGAACTAGGGAAAACCTAAAACTTTGAGGAGAATGAGTTGAGGCCTAGTGTTCCACACCAAAGGTCTAAAGAATGCCACCCACCCTTGCAACCATCGACCAACATCAACCACCGCTCATCGACTACCATTGACCACGTAGACCGCCCTTTGCTCTTCAAGATAAAACCCCCTGCAGAGTCACAACGTGTGCTGTAGAATCCTTGTGTACGCTGCAGAGTATTGAAGCACCATGGGAAAAATAAAGTGATAAATGGAGTAGCAACCAATATTGCAGAGTAATGAAGCACTATCTGGAGTAGTGGCTAATGCAACAGAGCAACAGAGCATTCTGCGGAGCAATGTAACATCTCAAATGTTGTGCAATGATGCCTTTTGAAGACATTGTACCAAAGTTTTGACAACTGCAACTGTTCTCAACTGTTGTGCAACAAATCCTCCTTCATACAAACATTATAACTATGTGACTCTTCCTTTCTATGGGATAAGGGTCTATACTTGTACTCATCAAGCTATAGTGAATTATTTCTGACCAGGCTGAGCCCTATTATTTTTTCTCTTTCAGGTTTTCCACCTAAATACTTATGGTGTCTGTACATGTCAAATTTATTATCTGAGTGTGTGATGCAACGATAAGATACTAATTCATTACTCTTCCACCACTAAATTTCTAGCATGTATCAACAATATAATCACATTTTGATTTACTCTCACAATAATCAAAATACAATTCTCTCACACTCTAATCAATCCTAACACTCTCTATAACTTTTTCTGTCCCCTTATGTTTTCTAATTTACCTATTTTTTTCTTCATTTTCATTTGAAGCGATAAGTGAATTGCTAAAACCACTCTAAGTTAGT